GCTATACATCTCCCTGAAACACACTTGTCCTGCTCTAACCTTGGTTGCCCACGTTAGAGCTCTTCAGTGAGTTCATTTGTAAATTCACTCATGCAGTTCCATCTCCCGTGGCTTATGGATATTTCTCAAGCAGCTTAGGCTTTTTGTCTATATGGCGATGGAAATGTGCTGGGGTCTTACTGTCAATAATGTTAACTTATGAGGCAAAAACCATTCAAATACGTGAGATCGATTCTCTCCGTGAAAATACATGATTACACAGCTTACACAGATTCACATGTAAATCATCTGAATACCGAGCCTGTTCATTCTGCATTTGAAATGGCTCCCTTTCAAGACGCCTCTGATCAGGTGACATTATATTATCATACTTGTTCTGTACCAGTCTCTCTCTCTCTCCATGCACAATTGTTTTTTTGATAAAGATCCCCCCACCCCTGCTCGGGGCCCCATTCGCATCAATATCTGCATCATAATGCAGTGGTCGCGCCGGGCTCTGCCTGTTGACAAGCAAACACTTGCAACTGCCAGATAAGAGCTCGAGTGGTGCCATTGATTAACCAGCAACTTCATTATGGTGGCTGCCATTAACAATGCAACCCCATTGATTCAGCCACCGAAATGGCTGTGAGAGAAATAAGCAAAGATAACGCTGTGAGCTGCCGGAACCCTGAAAGTACTGCAGCCGCTTGTAAGACAATGAGCTTCTGTGTAATCCACACTTTGCCCTGTCCAGACTCCCTCAACTGGTACTTAAAATATCTGAGTGCCACAGAGCGCTACCTCAGCTATTTCTGTATTAATGTATAACACCCCGCTGCTTCTTTGTACTGAGGGAAGAGGCCAGATAACTTCTAATAGCCGGACGGTGTTTTGTGCAAGCCCAGATTTCTGCATGACTTTCAGATAAATGTCAGAGAGCCATTTATTTAATCAGAGGAGGACACATGCGGGGTTGACAGACAGGAATACACTTTACAGGCTGTTCATCAACGTGTGTGCACGCTCTGACTCCATCCCAGGAGAGGGAAAAAAGCGCATTGCGTAATACTGTACTTGAAATAGCTCGTGTCAGAAGTAGGCCTATGTTGTTGCATGCTCTGTGATCTGAGAGCTGGATAAATGCAGGGTAAGGGGAGCACTGCTCCGGCAAAACAGCACAGCGCCGTGGACAGAGGGGGTACTTCTAATAATATGAATAATTCCACAAAGTCAATAAAATGCAGCTGACACATTCAGCGAGCGAAACTCAAAGGACAATGGGTGTCAACAGAGACCGTAAAGTTTATGTAACATGGCATAAATAACAGGGCTATGATAAAAAAAAAAATAACCATAGGCTATTTCTGGATCTTGATATGAATGTTTTTTTATCGACTGTTTAAAAAAACAGAGATATGGATAATTTTATCAGAGGCTTCGATCGTGCAATTATGTAAACCCTTGTCAAATATAGCCACTAACAGGCTTCTTCCACAAGGTCAGCCCGGTGTTTTAACGTGATTTATGTCTGCATAATGGACCTCCGCCTCGTGAACTGTGTCTCGTGACGCCTCGCTTTCTCTTTCGGCCAATTTTGTTCATCCACGTTCGCCTCAAAAAATATATATTTGAAAAAAAAAAGGTATTATTATTATCAATATTGAAGCCAACCTGCGCGCTACGGCCATAACGCACGGCAAGTCTCACGCAAAGCAAAGCGCCTCGCGGGTTCCACTGATTCCTTTAGAGGAATCATTTGATAGCCCTATTAACTTTCATGTAACATTGTTTCTTGAAGGCATCCACAGCAAGCGCCAGTGTCATTACTGTGAGAAATGTGCTTTCATACTGAACGTCTTTTACTGAAGTCCTGGAAGAGACATAACGCCTCAGAATGCGGAATAATGACACAAACGACTCTTGTGAAGGCAGATTATTAAACCAGACGCTGTTCATGTTGCCACAAAGCCACGTGTTATTAACGATGTGAAAATATTTGTTTGTTTGTGGTCGAATCTAAATATTTAGCGTCACAACACCATGCATCTTACGAAAAACCCACCGAACGGTGGCGGTTATTGGCCGTTTCGAGTAGACGATACAAACTCTGTCATCGAACACATATTGTAAGCGCATGTGGAGGAAAGGGATTTTTTTTCTGACCGCCTTTGACGGCGAAAACATGATGTTTTAAACTCCAGAGAGATATGTCCCTGGCAGGACCTTCGGCAATCCATTCAAGCCAGCAAGTTTGGAGAGCGTGTTGAGTTTAATCAATTCATAACGTCGAGATGGAGCCGAACTCACTGAAGGTAACGTCTGTTATCAAGCGTCGATTTATTTAATTGTTGTGCTAATCGCCTCCTTCTGGAAACAGGCGCCTCATCCTCAAAAACTTTGACACACAGCATTTTACTATGAATATGAATTCCTAGCCCGAACATCTAAGAATTGTGAGATTATACATATTGTGGGCAGAAAAATTGAGATATCTCGGTGTGATTTTTTTATTTATTATTTTTTTGGCCAGCCGTGCGTAATGAAGAAGGGACGGTGTCAGCATTGTTTACCAATTGAGTTGATAAGTCATTAAATAATGTCTTTATTTTGCTTTTCTCCCCTACAGTGGGTGGGCTCGTCTTGCGGTTTACATGGACCATATATATTCTATAAAGCCTTTAAATTTCACCGGGACGGAAAACCGAGAATTCTTGCTCTCGGAGACTTTTTCTTCGTCAGATGTAAACCCGAGGATCCTATTTGCATAGCGGAGCTTCAGCTTCTCTGGGAAGAAAGAACAAGCAAGCAACTTTTATCAAGCTCCAAACTTTATTTTCTACCCGAGGATACTCCCCATGGACGGACAGTCGCTCACGGAGAGGTAGGAATATCAACCGGCCGATAAATATTTCTCTCTTTATTTTATGTTTTGTTTTTTTGTATTTCCTGTTTTTTTTTTGTTTTTTTTTGGCCGAGACGATTTGATCCAACAGCATCTTTACTGCATTAAGAGTTGGCAGTGGCTGTCTCCGGTGACGGAGGCATTCATACGCGCATGTATTCACTCTGACATTGATGTATCGAGCAGAACAGGAATTGACCCGCAGGAATCTGTAGTTTTACTTGAGTCTGTTTGTCCATTGTGTCAACTGCTGAATGTGCACTTGCCCAGCTGCGCTCCGCGGGGTTAATTGTGTTATAAAGGGGGAAAATCCGCACGAATCCTCTTGTCATTTCATTTCTTGGTAAAAAAGCGTGTCAAATACTGACGTATGGGGCGGAAATTGCGAAACGGTAATGAATGCATGGGATCCAACCGGCTCAGATGTGTGGCCGCGATAGTTTATTAGATCTTTTTTTTGGCGTAAGGCAGCCTGATGTGGAGAGAGGCGAGAGCGTGGCTGCGCGGAGCCGGTGGCGCTGACACGTCTCAAACTACTCTCCGCGCTTTGCATAATTTTTCCCTGTGAACATTTCCATCCTCAACAATGCGATATTGTCAGCTCGCATTTGAGGCGGCACTTAAAAAAGCAGCCCCGCGCTGCACTACGCCGTCGCTGGCACCGAAAAGCCATAGTTGTGATTGACTGTGGCCATATGTGGCGCTTGTGATCCGGTTACAGCGTTGTTGCTGCGCGGCGTTTCTCTGATTGTGGAGTTTTTTGTTTTTTTTCTTCTCTCACTGGACGGAACGCCAACGACGTGTTGTTTCACCCTCTGATACGACAGCAGCACTTTAATCGCCACTTCTCTTTGGTTCTGATCGCTCGCGTGGAGATGCTTTTGCTGCTGTTATATTGTTTACGGGGAAGGACAAAGCCATGTTTGTACTTGACTCTTCCGCTGATGGTTTACTTACATTCTTTCCTCTTGAGTAATTGAGTGGCTATCACATTTCTCTTTCATGAGAAAGGTGGCTATTTATGGCTGGCCGCTTAGACAAGATATCATCCTTGTGAATTCTTCTATGCACGGGTATCATGGCTCGAAGCCCTCTGGTTTTAGTCCTTAACACGCTGCAATTATTTAGTAATCACTTTGATGCGTGCACTAAGACCACACTTACACAACGACATGTCAGCTCCGCCCCTTTCCCAAAGACTTATTTGCATTGCAAAGTGCTTACATTCCAGTCCATTGAGTATATCTGGAAAATATTACATCCAACGAGGGCTGGGGATGGCAGCACAAACGAAATCCCACTTATTTATCTTGTGTTGTGAAGCACTGAACAGAAGAATGGTAAGGGTTTAGTCAGATGCATTTGTCAACAGAGTGGAATCAGTTTCCCTGCATATATGCAGAGTTTTAGCACATCATTTAGCAAAACAGCCTTTTCTTTGAAGTTGGACAGATCATAGGAGGGCCCAGACACTGAAATTGTATAATTTGGGGATGGTAAGTTTAAGTGCTGTCTAGGTGCCTGCAGGCTGACCTCAATTAAAGGGCTTGTCAAACGCTTTTGCGCCCAGCAAATCGGACTACTTTCTGTATATTACACAGCTGAAATTGCCACAACAACTTGGAGCCAGTTTATGACCTTCAGTGAGCCCATTCAGATTCTCGCTGACTTTGCCCCATAACACTAATGTGCGCTGCATGAGTCAGCGAGGAGCGCTCCCAGATGTAACCCATAATCCAAAAAACAAACAGGAGGAGTAAATGTGTAAAAGAAAAAAAAAAAAAAAAAAGAGGGTATAGAAAAGTTACGACATCGCAGCTCATCGGTTGTTAAATTCCACACCTGAGCGATATGTGTGTGAAAAGGTAAACATTGGAGAGGGATTCATTTTTAACTACGCCGAGGGGTGGAATTTATAAACCGCTTTTCTTCGGAGCTGTTAGTGTGTGAAGACAGACGAATGGCTGTGGAGCAACACCGAACTGTAAATTTGTATTTGACTGGCTGAACATCAAGAGTCCAAATTGGCCTTGTGAGTCATCCAGATATGAACTTGATAACTTGCAGCTCTCAGGAAGTGTGATATTTTCACAAGGGTTTAGTGTTAAGTGAGAACATGCACCATCTCGAGGTAAAGCCACTACCCGGTTTGATTGTATAACATTCATTCCCTGGCAGTGGGAGATCCATATTCCCCAACACAAAACAGAAGCAGCGTCTGATTTGTGACTTCTAAACAGCTGACGTTGGGTTGCTCTCCTTCTCTCCCGGCCTCCTATCTCCTAGATGGCTATTAAAATAAGCCTGGAGCCAATATGCTCCAAATACCAAAAGGCATTACTTCTTAGAAGGCACCAGAGCAGCCTGATATTGAACTAGTGTACTGGAAATGGATTACTGATTCACTTGTGTTCTGAGCGCTGAGGTATGATGTAATTTCCTGGTTATTTCTCAGGTATTTGTTTGCTCTCAGCGTCTCCTGCAGTGTGTTTGTCGTGTTTTTGCTGTGCTGTGCAGTGACAAGAGGAACCAACCCATGACCTACTGTGCTTGTTTTTCTTCAGTCGCGGGGGTTGGAAGTCAATTCCTTTTAAATGCAGCCAGCTTTCGAGCCAGTCAGTTTTGGCTGGAAATGAAAATAATGATCCGCTGAATAAATGCAACTCTGGGCGCCTGTGTTTGCTGATTAAATGATAAACAGATCCAGAGTAAATTTATGAATCTATTTATACTGAGTTAATTATTAGGTCCATATGTGGAGGAGGCTCTATTTTTCATTGTATCTAAGTTGGACAAGCAGTGTTTACCACCACCAGTTGAGCTCAGCTTGCTCTTTAAACAGGCTTTGTGTCGGGTTGCTCACCCATTATGACAAACCCTCTATTGGGGCCTCCGCTCTATTTGTCTGCTTGCAAACTGCCACTGACTAAACAGTCACATGTGTTTTAAAACTCACTGAGTGACACTTTATTTCTTCCCACTCCAAACGGCCCGCTGTAATACTTTCTGTTTTTCGGACTCCTTGTTTCAGTGTGGCACGCCAACTTACAGTACTCCCTAACTCATGTGCTCCGCTGCAGGGGCTTAATTGTTTATTCTTATCTTATACTGTACATACCACTTAACAGCAACTAGCGGGGCACGCTTAATGGGAATTCATAAGCGCTGAGAATATTCCTGGATCATGTTATATTAATGTGCTATTATCATCACCTCTGATTTCATCTGACCTCTCCTCTCCTCTATTCTGTCCCTCTAGCTGACAAGGCTTTGGCACATACACACAGACACACTGACAGGCAGGGGACTGCAGCAGTAGGCCAGTATTGATTGCTGTGGAAAACACTTTGGCATGCATCCAGAGCCATTTCTTCAGTACATGGCAGTAGGCCATGCATGTGTTTCGGTGCTTGGAAAGCCAGCTTGTAGGGAAATTAGATTGTATTCATTTGCTGCTTCTTTGATTTTTCCTGAGGGAAAAACCCTGAATGGGTAATTCAGGCATCTGGGATGCTGGTTGAGTTAAATGTAAGTGGCTTAGATACAGTGTGCGACCAGCGCTTTGATGGATAAGGTCGTTCTTGCTGAGTGACTCAGAAGTAAATGTGATATGGCGCATTTTTTTACAGTGATCTCGTTACTACTTCCATACAGTTCTCTTGTCTTGGGCAGTCTGTGAATTACACCAAATCTCCTTATTCACACAACAATGGCAGGAATTTGGAGGTGGCGCGATGGGGGTGGAGGCTGTGCTGTGTGTGTGTGTGTGTGTGTGGGGGGGGGGGGGGGGTATAGTGTGCATGTGCGCCGTGCACTAAGGTACGCCTCCTCCTGCCGCAGAACAAGTCATTAACTCTGAACACTGCCCTCCAGTGAATTCCTCACCATTGCTGAAATAGCATGTAAATTATTACCAGCTTTTTAGGATAGTGTAATTTAAAACCTTTAAAATGTAATACCCAGGACTTCAAAGGCAATAAAAAAAAAAGCCCACAAACATACTAATTCTTTTTCGCTGAACTGTTTTGTGTCTTCGCTGCCTAAGTAATGATACGTTTCAACAGCGCCTGTTTGTCAACACGCTGGAGACTTTTGGTGCTCTTTAGCTCGGTTTCTTCCACTTTGTCATTGACTAACCACTTGAACAGGCAAACATTTGCCTTGATGCATGACTCCAGAGCCTCCAGCTACAGTGGATCATTATTATAACCTTTGAGGAGAACGCAGCCACAGATGGAAAGCTCTTGCTTAATACTCCGGCCAACATTTTTAATTCCTAACTGCGGATTCTTGGACAGAGCATCGTGTATTTAGCCTTTCTGGGTTTTTTTTGTGTTGTTTTTTTTTTTTGGTTTGCATCTGCTAACGTGCAGGGATACAAAGCTGCAGCGATTCAAGGGGGGCTGACACAGCTTTTTCTGTGGTGTCACCTTACATGATGGATGCCTCACCCACTTCCAGAAAAGCTTTGAAAACTCCTCTTATCTCACTATTCCTCTCTGTCATTATGACTCCAAAAGAATGCTAAGTTCATACATCAGCCCAGCTTGTGTAACAGCAATCTGTTAATGGAATCAGTGAATAAAAGATGAGTTCAGCACCCCACCGCTGTGACACCAACTTTTGTGCATATATGAATACATTGTTTGAATTAAGCGGGACACCATTATGTACAATGATTCTCACCTTTTAAATGCTACACCTTGAACTCTTTGTAGTCTTGGGACAGTCTCAACCAAACATATTCTAATTCAATTGTCCCTGGCATACTCTCCAGACCTCCCTTTCAATTCCCAGATAAGTTTGTTTTGGGACACTGCAGCCAAGGTCAGTCATGGGGTGGGGAGAAAGATAATGAACTCATATTGTGTTTCATACTCCGGTTCTCTCTACCTCCTTCCCTCCTTCTTCTTCTCCTCCTCTGCCTCCTCATTGACCATGTCACCATGTCCATTACTCAATTACTAATCTGCTCTGGCCTCAGGAATTCCTGCGCTGACCTCTCGGAGGCAGCAGGCTGAAACCTTCCCAGCATGACAGGAGTCTTGTGTGTGTGTGCCCACGGTATAGAAAGACATCCACCCAGTGGGAGCCAGCACCCCTTGATTCCCAAGCTGAAAGTTCTGTCCGGCCAATGAGACGCTCCGCCGCAGAACGCTGACAACCAGGAATGTCGCGCGCAGCGGCGTGGATTTGTCCGATATGGAATATGGCATTTTTCGGGGTGCATTGTCTCTAATTGGATCATGGCGTATGGAATTGGAAGTGTCCCCTTTTGTGCTGTTTAGCCACATCCATATACAAATGGAATGATATGGATTTTAGTGAGTTTAATTTAAATGAGATTGCTGGTGTCAGGCGTCACTGGAACTGAGTTATCTACTGTTTCAGAGCAGAAGTCTGTGTCCCCCCCCCCACACACACTTTGAGTCCATTATGTGCAGTCATAGCAATGAATTCTCTCTAATGTTTATGGAGATATCATGCTGCTGTAGTAATAACATGAATTATTGATAGTAGGATGGAGACAGGATGTAACATTTAGCTGTTAATGTGTTACCTTGCATTTCAACTCAAGCATAAAGGCAGAAGTTAATATGCGTGTGTGTTTATTGACGCGGCCGATTGAAAAGGATTCCAACACATTAATATGTTTAATCCAAAATTCACAGTCTACACATGCTGCTAATGTATTTGTGAAATCAGACTCGCTGAAATGACACTCGGCTCTTTGGTATGTGGCTGATGTGGAGTGTCACCTCTTGGCTGTGGGCTTGCAGTCCTCTGACCTATATTATCAAGTAGCCCGCTGGCTGTGTGTGCCGCTTTGCTAAACTATCAACTGCCTAACTCGGAGTGACAGCACAGTGTGGATGGGCGGCATTTACAGGAGAGCAAGGGTCCGAGTTTCATAAGTGCATCTAAGCCCAAAATCCATGGAGTGAGTCATCGACCCCTGTAGTGCTGCAGAATACTGCTGAAATGATTCACAGTTACAGTGTATTTAAAGCCGGGACAATTAGTCAGTGAACAAATCCCCCAGATCATTATTTGGCAGCAGTTGGTTCAAGTTGATTGTACTTTTTTATCCTCCATCATCACATAAATGGAAACGCTTCAACTCCTAAATGAGTACGTTAGTCAAGTTGTAGCCTTTAAATAATTGGTTGGAAACCTAAATGAGTAAAGGAAAGGCACTGACACTGTCTAAAAAGTGTTTCTATCACTTCAATTTGAAAAAAAGTAATCATTCAAAGTATCTGTTGCTGCAATTTCCGTTTCCCAAACCTGATGATTTGGTGTTCTCATTGTTTGGCTTTGGACTGCCTATACTTGATATATTTATGGGTCTCGATAAACTTGGACTGTTTAGGCTTATAAACTGACTCATATTACAAGCAATCATATCTGGCTGGAGGACAGCTTCATGTTTTTCTCATGGTGGTGACGAACAATGTTGCTGCAATGATGATGTTGTGATAGTTTCCCAATAACTGACTGCTTTGTTCGCTTCTCAGAAATTCCTCTCTTAATTTTCCAGTATTTGCATATTTCTTAACCAAAATAGCGCAACTTACGCAAACCACAGGCCATCATTCATCCTCATCTACCCGTGTGAAGTTGGCTGGTTTAGAAAAACAAGAAATAAGTTGTAGTGAGGCCAACTTAATGGATGTGGCCGCAGCCCCGTCCATAGACTGATTATATTTTGGACGGTGCTGACAGCTGCTGAATTGTGCTCACCTGTTGTGTTTTGCTCTGAAGCCAAACAAGTCCCCCAACAGGATCCGTTGACACTCGCACAAGGCGCAGCGTCATCCAGCTGATTAATTGAAAGGGAATGGCTGTTTTTGAGTTCCGGCGTGCGTACGCTCTGCCCGACAGATTAGGATTGGACTCTCTGTGTGTACATCAGCAGCAGAACATTCAGTACATTGTTTTAGTTTTTGAATGGACTCGGCTGAAGTATTTTGTCTCTACGTGTGCCGTCAACAGATCACATCAAAGTACACTCGATAATTTTGTAGGGATACAGTGCTATGTGGTTCTTAGCTGGAGGCAGAAATGCTATTTACTGTTTCTCTGCATTATTCAAATGGACCTCTTTTGTGAAGGCAGAAACAGCAGTCAGTTTTTCATTGCATGGAAAGCCGGTTACAACCACCCGCCACCACTTGACAGCTGAAGACAGCTCATTATGAGAAGACCAAAAACCCATGTTTGATGTTTTTACTTAGTGTGGAAGGCACAGCTATATCAAGCTATCCCTCGCAGGCTTTTCCTTTATAAGGAAGAACTGTCTCCAACTGGCTGGGATTCGATATGCCTGTAGTTTTTAGAAGATGTCAGAGCTGAATATGAGTAATTGTATGGACAAAACACTCAGTGAGATTCTTAAAAACTGCAAAGCATGTGTTTGTTTTGGAGACTGGATGTCAAAATAACAGAAACCCTTTGAAATAATTAAAACGGGGGAACTGCAAAAAAACAGAGACTTATCCTAACATCTTTAGCTTCATAAAGAAGGATTTGCTGCACAAGTGTGCTTTTGAGTTGGATATGATTGTTTTTGTATGTCTCTTTCCTGTATCTAAACCCTCTACTTAGACACATAAATATAACATAATGAGTGTTATTTTTATGTCAGCAAGACACCAGCCCTTTAAGGGGAAATGCATACAGCTCGACAGATGCCTGGTAAAATTGGAGATAACCAAGGTAAACATCAGAGACCTACTCTGAGTGTTTCTGCCTGTACACATCTGTCCTCCAGATTTCCCTGTTTCAGTAATAGTCATCGTACAGCACTGCACTCCATTCTGTTGGTAACAAGCACTTCAGCCATTAGCTTTTCAAATGGAAACACATTTAACCGTCTTTTCTTCCTTCCCACTCTGAAGGACTCTGAGTTCTTCGAATTTGAGAGTTATTAAAAGGAGCTGAATCAACCCCAGAAGAAAAACAAGGTTAAACCACGCAGTGAAACGAGAGCAAATCTTATTTAGTGAGCCGCTGAGCAGACTGGAGCACAGTACACAAAGTCATACCTCAGTGTCATCCATGCACATCACCGCTCCACTTTTACATGTTCACTTCGCGTTTTATGTGGCTCGCAGCTTTTCTGCTGTTTATTCATTAGGCTCTCAGTGTAACAAATTTCACTTCATCTACTCCCATACTCTTTGAAGATGTAATCAAAGCAGCCTGGAGTGGCTTGAAAAGCAGAAAATGCGAGCATTCATGGCCAATATCAGGAACCCGACTTCCTAAACGATAATCAAAAAGTCTAAAACACCTACGTCCTCATTGACATTGATTTAACTTCTGGCATGAATTCAATTCGGCAATCATCCACATCATCCATATTCATGGAGCTGTAATTTACTTACATTAATGTGCATCCACAGCCGTGATGGCACTTGACGCACATGCCAATTTACTTGATAAATAAAAATGGCCCGTTCTTTGTTCTGCTTCTTGTTCTGATGATCACTTGATTTTCATTCCATTTTTTTATTACCTTTTTTTTACCTTCACAATTTTCATGTTAAATCAAACCATCTTTTACATGTTCTTGAATACTGTAATTCTAACCATATACTTAAAATAATGTGGATACTTAGCCTGATTATTACCTTCGATGCATTTGCTTGTGGACCTTTTTCAGGCTTTCATATTCACACCCTGTAAAGCATCAGTCTGTAAACAGGATTTTCATGGTATAATGGCCCGCTGCTATTTCTGAAGACAAGTGTTTTCCTGAAATGTAATTACCCGCGATTTGCTCTGATTTAAAACAGAAAAACTGTGTGATAAACAGCGCTATTGTTTAATGAACCGCTGTTTATTATTATTATTTTACGACTACCTCGGCTTTGTCATTCTATCCAGAAGACTGCTGTTTGCTTTCGGTCTAAACTTTTAAAGACGGTGCATCAGAGTGGTGAAACTGGGGGCGCAGCAGCTGACCCATTACCTGCTTCTCCCTCTCCCTCCTCTCAGCACGAGGTCATTGCCGTGTCTGAGAAGGTGATCGTGCGTCTGGAGGACCTGGTGAAGTGGACGGTACCAGACTACTCAGGATGGGCCAACGGTCTGAAGGCAGAGCCCCTCAAACCCGCCGTGCTCCGGGAGCTGGGGACCAATGGGAGGCGTGAGGCTCTCCACCGCTACAGGGAGAGCACTCTGACCAGCGGACTCAACTTCAAGGATGTCCAGAGGGAGAGGACTCAGCTAGGTGAGCCCCGGCAACTTAACATTTTTTCTTCATCCCAGAAGGTCACTGCAGTGTTTCCATTATCGGCGGGCTGCTGTGGCTGGTGTTTATGTATTTGTGTCATGTGCTCGCCATAAATCACCTCATGTTTATAGTGCTTTGGTTAGTTTAACAAGTGTTGTCTTGCCTGGGATAATTCATCAGTTTTGAAGCTGGAACGACTCCTGATATAATAAGCTGAGAAATAGGCTAATAGAGGCAGACCGGAGTTCATTTCAGCCTATTTGCCCACATGGCACAGGTCATAAAATGTAACAAGTCTTTGTTTAGACTATTGAAAAAAAATCACTCAGTTTAGCTTTCAGTGACTTTTTCAATGTCCTCTCTTGTTTGACAGGTGACTAAAGTGTCTCTTTTTAGATATCAATCAGCCTGCTTCAGGCTCCTTGCTTTACACATGTAGAATATATGTGCATTCTCAACCTTTTGTTGAAAAACCACATATTCCTGTTACTATTACACTGGAAGAACATGAGGTAATTTTTTCCCATCTGTTGCTCCGGTCTTTGTTTCCATCAGTTCAGGTCATGTTGAGCTCAGCAGCTCTGCAGGTCATTGCTGTGTGCATCTGAATGGTTTTTAAATGTATTCACCATGTACGCTGTGCCATTAACTGTCAATGAATGCTGGATAATTGAAGTGCTTCTTGGGTTCTCAAAACAGATTTGCCCATGAATCAGGCCCAACATTGAGCTGGATGTCTCTGTGGATGAGTCATCCGATGCAAATAGGAAACTCTGGCATTTGAACCTAATAATCAGAAAGAACATTATGTTCTCTTTGAAGCTGTTTCACATATTTGCCTATTTCTCACATGGCTGTGATGTAATGCCTTATGCTGCTTGAAGTGGTGTAATATAGCATATCATACAAGCTAAAAATACCATTCAAAATGAAACTTCCCCCTGTCCGGTCACGAGGTTTTACTATAGATAGTAAAGCCAGAATTTTAGCTCCATGATGTATCAATCTATTTTTAATAACCATCTTGTCACTGAAGCCTTCAATGAAGTGAAACTCCTACATGCTTAAAACTACTTCACTTGCTGTGTAGAAAATGTTGATTTATTGATGGCTTGTTGTGTTTTGTGCTCTGAATCTTCCGCCAAGAGAAGCTCTTGTGTTTCTGTGTGATGCTGTAATGCCCTTGATTACTCGACACTGCATGAATCTCATACGCGAAAAGGACAAGGAGATCAATAATGAATGCTTTGTTGTTATTCCAGTAATCAATATAGCGTGAATGTGCCTCTGAGTGTGTGTGTGTGTATGATTGCTTGCTCACATAAATAGATATGTCAGCTTGCTTCTTGAGTGGTGTAATGTTCCATATCTTGGCTTACTATAAATGTGCAGCATCGTCCAGATTTTATAGATTTAACTGTTGTCAATGCAATAACCTGACGATAATGCTATTGTTGCCGAGGGGCTGTGTACGTTGACGCGAAATGCGTGTGTGTGTGTATGTGTACATGTATGCGTATGTTGCTAATGAGCAGCACTGCCGCTAATGACTCCATCAGGCTGTTTCTAAATGCACTTGTCACTCCGATGGGACACTCTACCAGAGAATCTGCCCACTCAGCAGAACGGGCTTAGACTCTGGCAGGGCACCAGAGGCACGCACACAGACTTTGACTCACACACTTGCAACGCACAGACAATCAGCAGTGTGCACTCGCTTATCCATTTGTTTGTTTGTTCACTATGTCTTAGGCGTGTGCCAGTTGTTGACAGTAGAACAATACAAGGAGGGCAGAGAGTTTGGGGGAGAGATCACTTATTCATCAAGGCAAATGAGCGTTACTGTGTATAAGGTTTTGCATAGAAATATGAAATATGCCACTGCAATGCCGCTGACTCCCGAAATGAAATATTCATACTGCAGCAGCAGCAGATCAGATAGAAAAGTAGCCTTAAAGCATCTTGCAGCTGAATGTCTGTAATTCTGTGTAATATGTTGGCTCATTCACTAAACTGATTTTTATGATACAGCTATAGTCCTTCTGTCTTTTTTTCTTTCTTCTTTTTGAATTGTCTAGCCTGAAGCGGCTGTCTGGTCTGCTGTATTAGTTGAATGATGTATTTGCTGATTGTTATTCTCAGGCTGATGTGTAGCTATGTCAGAAGAATTGGATTGTTCCCCATAACAGGATACTGCAGCAATACCACAAGCTGCACAGAAAACCATTGTGAGCTAAAGAGCAATAAAGTGTGCCATTGTTATTCAGGGAAACAGTGCTTTTTTTCCCCCGAGTGTGTGTCCTAACTTTTCCTGGCATGCGGCCAGTGCGAATGAAGTGCCCCTTTTTATGTATGCGTGTCTCACAGACAACATGTGAAAAATACAAGCCAAATGTGTCTGAAACATCAGAATGACAGTTGTTTTTTATTGATCTGTGGTACATGGGGTGGAATGACTTCATAAGTGAACAAAGCCCTACTGTATTCTGACCTCAGAAATGCATGCCCGCATAAAGCAATTAATTAGAAACAAGTGACCTTCGCTGCAGTGCTGCACCATTTGCAGCTCTCTTAAACCTTTGAGGCAGAGAGATGATTGGTGTCATAATTCAAATTACAGCTCAGCTGTGCTGTGTGACGGTATTTTAGTGGCCTACCTGGAATATCACGATCTTTTCTGTGGGATCTTTAAAAACATAAAAAGTAGTTATTTTTTAAAGTCCAAACAGGGATTTTAGACACATTATATTTTCTACTGTAACTTTCTTTGCTGAATGTAAGAAAAAGTGGCTTTTCAGTCTTCAAAAAGAACACCTCCTTTCACTCAGTGCTAAACGTGATAGTACTGCTGCTGTAAGTAACTAAATCTCATAATGGCGCCCTTCACAAAATGGCATTGTGTAGTACGACACAATAGTAGTGTCAGCAGTCAGGCATTTTTAAAGGGTCTTTATGAGCAAACACTCAAGTATTAGTCCACTTATGGCACACAAATAGCACAAATGACGTATGATTATGTTATAGGACGATTTAATTGAATGCATTGTGTGAGCAACGCTCGATAAATTCCACTGCAAGACCTCAAAGATAACTCAGTCCTACGAGTGCATTAAGGGTGATGTATTGTGTTTTTCACTCTTTACGTAATCTGTAATGTAATTCACTTAATCAGGTAATGCAAACTGTCCACTCACTTTATCTTGTACTGTTGTGAGCTTTAGAGTTTCTTTTTACAGTTCAATCCACCAGGGATGGCTTGCCAGTGAAGTTTACATTCTGCCCCCCTCCTCTATCTCTCCCCAGAGGACTGGCCTGATTCTTTTTTTTTCTTTTTTCATTGCTGCCTGCCGAAATTGGTTTCTGGTCATATACTTCGAGGCTGAACGTTTGAGAGCTGTATCTGCTAATACAGTTTGTTGGCTTGCGCCGGGAGAGACAGAGACCTATAGAGGAAAAAAGGCTTTTTTTGTCCTACCTTTCTTAAATTCTAGCCTTCAGTATGGAAGCCAGTGAGCAGATTGTGAGTTGAGATGTGGGGGGATTAAACAAGGTCACATCTTTTGACTCCTTACGTTCAAAGATGGTGTTCATGACTCCTGCTCTCAACTTTGGTATCTTTTCTAGCTTGTTCATCCCACAGTGCTTGGGAGAATCAGGGCTGTCTTGTAAACAGTTTTGCATTCACCCCATGCTTGACTTTGTGAAGTAATGTAAACTATGATAAAGTAAACATTTTAACCACAGTAATTCTCTTGTTTGACAGTGAATGTCATTTATAACAATGTGTACCATGTCACCTTTACAGCATGTCATAGTTTTTAAAGATATATAAAAAAAATTTATGGAACATAATTGAATATTATTTGATTATGAGAAAAGCGTATTCACTCTGTATGAAAAGCTTTCGTGTGCTTTTAACATTTGCCATCCATTGTCTCTAATCTTCATTCAAATTCTGCTTAACAGAATTAAATCAGCGTGTACCTAGTATTAAATTAAATTCTTAGAATGTATGACTTCACAATGTTTTCCCCAATAATCCTTTAATAACTGACCTCATTTTGAACTCGTATATGTCAGGGCAAATGGTTTGATTAACTTTGATGGTGTTTTTTTTCTCATCACTACACTGAGATCAGTTTAGCCTTTATTAGCTTGCTCAAGGGCACTCACACATTTGATTCAGATAAACCAGAATTCTAACCAGCAATGATGAATGACCAACTTTCTCTGTCATCTATTAAAATCAGTTTAAAATCTGTGCCCTAATTCCATATCTTTGACTAATTAGTTACAGGACGCATGACTCAGACTTTCCCACTTTTACAAAAGATTCCCATTCATTCTTTCTCTTTAAAGGTTAACTTGAAGCTAACATGAGTCTTTCACAGTGTGGTTAAATTGAATTGAGTACATATCCTCCAGTCATTTCTTCTCATAGTACGCAGTTATTTGCCTTTTTTCTTCACTGTTGTGTTGCAGCTGTGGATGCACAGGAATAAAAAGGTTACGTTTCTTGCAAGAAAGTGTGTGTCCACACTTTTTTACTGATTCTGCAGCTGTGATTACAAAGGGCACACAGCGACTTCCTGTTTCATCACAGCATCTCGCAGCCATGATTTATAGAAGTGAGAACAATGTTAAACTGAACTGAATATATCTGCCAAGTGAACCATCTTAAAGCAGAAAATTGTCTAAATTGTCTTTTGGATGGAGAATCTTTTGGCAATTTTACATTCAGTTATAAAGAGAGTGTAAAAAACTTGTTCTATTCTAATATTTAATGCATTAGACAAAATAACATTTAAATTGGTCACTACCATGTTTTAAAATGAGTCATCTACCACCGTATATTAACAATAGCACATTACATAACACAGTATCTCTGTAACTCAGATATTTAACTTTTAAATTGAATTTAGATGGAAAATGTCAAGCCCTTGAACAAAGAAAAAGAAAAAAACAAGCACACCAAATCAACACTTCCAACCACCCGT